TCTCTGCAAAAATCATTTAAATTCTAGAAGGCATTTCACTTTCAAATAAAATAACCAGTTTTAGTTAGTGATTTTAAGTGAACTTTCTTTTTTTACTTTTCATAAGTTTCAACCATTATTCTTGAAATCTAATGCTTTATCTTTCTCCTTATATTTTTCCAATAATAGATACCACGGCATACATCAAGTCTTAATTAGGCTTTTAATATCATAACCATTGGTCGTAGACATATACTTTATGTCACAAAAGTGTTTTCAACGATGCATGCATTCATATTTTGGCATTTCTAAATTTAAAATTCAGTTTTCTGAAAATTAAGAAAACTAACATTTTAATATGGTTCCCTAACCTAAATAGTTATATTCAGTTTGGTTGTACTTATTCTAAAATATCAAACACAAAATGTTTTAAACCCGTATGACAAAAATTGACAAAATATGCCATCACTGGCTTTAAATGAGGGGTCGATTAATTATGAACTTAAGTAAGTAGAAATCCCTATGCCGCCCAAACGGTTGAGTGGTTAGCGTTGCTGAGTGGCGTGCCGAAGGGCCCGGTTTCAAATCCCGAAGAACGCATGGATGTTTGTAAATGTATAGTGTCCGCGCGGCATGGGGGCACTCTAAATATGGGGAGAGCCGAAAGTCCTCGCCATAAGTTGTTGATGAGGGAAGAGGGTGGGAGACCTTCGGACCCGTTCCCACCCCTGGGGCGCTCTCCGTCAAAATTGGAGGCGGAATTGAGCTAGATCGCACTGTCACTTGAAAGGCGCTAAAGACTGTTGCCAATTACAGGCGTAAACTTGCGCCTTGCGACGAAAAATTTCGTGGGCTTGGGCAAACTTATAGGTGGGACAAGTTAGCATTAGCAACAACAATAACAGCAAAAGAAGTTCCTGTTTTCCCTTTTTTATATTCAGTTTATTCTTTTGTGTTCTGCTAGCGTGTCCTTTCTTATATAATTTTTTATTAAGTTAATTAATTAATTTATTTATATGCCGAATTATGAGAGTTTGAATACTAAAATGCGTTAATAATATTCATATGAAATTTTATTCCTTTGGAATCATAAACTAATAGTAGTAACAGAAAACAAAAAACACAAATTTTGAAATAGTCTTCACTTTTAATTTATGCGTATGTTGCTAGGAACTGACTATGGGCCAATGTAAAGAAATCGGAATAATTATTATAACCTAGTATTATTCTTACGTAAAGCAATTTTGTTGTGTATATGTGTTATATTTTCGACCAACAGTTGCGGAAAGAAAGGCCGTATAAGAGCATTTATGGACACGAAATATATCCATTGTATTACATATTTACAAAGCCTAAAACAGTACTAACATTGAATGCTTGAATTGGCTTGAAAATGAAAGCGCTGCTGTCTTTCTTACTTTACATAAAAAAGTGGCATGGATTTTCTCCTGTTGAGTTCGTGTGCTTCCACGTGCTTACGTTTATCATTATTACTTTGAAATCTATTGGTAGTTATTTATCTTTTATTTTTAGTTATTTAATATGTATCAAAGATTTCTTTGAAGTAAATCCAAATTATTATTCTTGAGCTTATCAGCTTCTCTAACGCTACTTTTTTAAATAACGCTCGTTATGCATTGAAAGTGCACTTGAAATAGTGGCTGCCAACAATCGAAAGGTTAACATCACCTAAAACAGTCATATAAAAACAAATAATAATTAAATACTCTGTGTACGGGGTAATTCTATGGATGCTTTCGTAATTTTTTTCAATGTGTAGTGGAAATGCAAACAGTTTCCGTTAAAAAGCCCTTCAGGAAGGCGCCCCTTCTCTTTTGCCCTTGTATGCTTTAATATATTTGATTAAACAAATAAACACATTTTAAATTAACAATGCCAGTGTAATAATAGCATAATAACAATGCCATTATGTTACACATCAGCATTAGGTTATTTCTTTCTCTTTGCTTTCTTTGCTACTCCACCGTAAGTTTCAATCCGGATACCTTTCTTGAAACATATATTTATTTTAAATAATCGATAACACAGTGGCAAGGGATGAAAACTGAGAAACACTGGTAGTCCAAAGAAGACCGTTTTTGTCGTTGTTTGGCTTAAAGAAACCGCGAAGCGACTACAAGAGATTTGGTTTTTAATCTTCAGACTGCCACAGAAAGTCAAATTGGCCGTTCTGCCGCTGCACAAAGGCTTAACGAGGTTGAAATATATGAGAGAAAATCAATGGTTTGTGTTCCATTCACTCCAACTTCCGCAGAGATCGGCTTAAACTGATGCCGTCCTCAAGTTCAATGAGACAAGACGACTGGGTCCGAGTATTATTTACTGAAGAGTTCAGATATAATCTGAAAAGTGATTCTAGACGTGTTGTAATATGGGTATAAAAAGGAACATGCAACTTGCCTACCTTTGTCCGTCAAATATCCCGTTTCCGCACCGTCCGTGTCCGAACGCGGTTTAATGTTTTGGAGAGGAATCGTAACAAATGTCCTAGCCTAAGTTCAAACCCAAGTGTCGGCTTTTATTGTGCACTCCAAGACGGAATTTTGTTAAAACTTATTTGAATAATAAAAGGTTATTTAGCCTTCCAATCTTGTTGTTTCTTGTCACACGCACTTAAGCGATTATTCGCTTATCAGTTCTTAAGATTCTACACGCTCAACTGTAACTAAGCATTTACAAAGTGAGGAACTCTACAAAACAGTTCTGAATTTCAAATTGCTTAAAAGAAATTAAATCCTAATGTTTAACATAAACTCTAGACAAAAATATTGAACTCATGGAATTTGCTTTATTGATCTTTTGTGCGTTCTTCCAGAGAAACAAACCCATCATCATGAAACGACCCGCTTAAAATATATTTTGCTATAATTAAAAAGACTTTATTCGGAATATTACGTAAATTCTAGAGTTTAAACATTAAAGAAGTGAGTTTGATATGGCGCAATAAATACTTATTTATATACAACTACAGATTTCATGAAAATCTAAGTACACCATTCTAGGTTTAAAGAGGATAGGTATCAGTGGCACTTTCTACCCCCTCAAGGAACACCTTTTGTTAAGAAGAATAAACAAAATTACCAACTGATCTCAGAGAGGTTTCCATTTAAGCTAATGAAAATTGGCTTTTACTGCGTTACACTGATTTGTGATTCCATTCGATTAAAGTCCCAATAGGGCATAAACACAGCTCGAAATAGTTCACAACACAACGGGCAATTTCGACTTTTTTAAATCCGGCTTTTCTCCTTACAAGCTAAGACTTGACGGCTCACTTTCTTGCCCACTTACGATGTCTCAGGGGCTCTGATAATCGATACGCCTCTGACCTTTCGCCCAAAGTACGGTTTTATGTTACTCGAAGAGAAATAAAATTTTCGACGTTGGAAAAGTATCCCTCATTTCGAAGTTATCTGCATGCGACATGTCCTTTGGGCTTTCCTTATTTCCAGAAACAAGCACGTAACATTTATTAACAGAAGGCCGAGCACCGAACAATTGATTAAGGCAAATAATTTGACATGCCTGAGTAACCTCATATCTTTGGAAAACTTCATGTTAGTGATTTGGATACATGCATTTCATTTCATCATCTCTTCTTCCTTTGTAAAGGAATTGTAAAGAAAAGATGATGATGATGAATGGAATTGAATTAACTTCATAATATCTTGTCAAATTTATGATTTTTATCAGGCTTGAAAGGGCCTGAAGAGATGTACTCGAACGGCTAAAGATTTTGTGCTCTCATTTTCTTCCTCTGCATCTAATGTGATTGATGCCTTTCCTAGTTGCACCATTAATGAGAAGCGCTACATAGATACTAAGAATTTTATTTTATTTTGAGACAATCGCAAAGATCCGTGACTCGAACGTAGGACCTGTATATTCTACTCTAACGTACTACCACTCTGTTGACGGAAACTATGATTCACTTTGAATATTTGATTCAGATATTGAATTCAGATATTCTACTACAATTACATATTGAATAATTCTCAAAGAACCATTTATTCCTTCCTGAAATATTAGATTTGAATTTATGCGACTGAAATGAGATTTAAGAGCTTCTATATTCATACATTTCACAAAATGTCTTTATACCGATTACTTGCATTCATTTCTAATTTCTGCAAATCTGCTTAGTGCTCAAAGGCGGGCCTCATTTGTGCCAGCTTAAAACGTTAAAAGTCAAGATGTTTAACTGAATAATATTTAAATGAGTGTGCCATTGATATCAGTTTTAAAATAATAAAGACTCGTTGTATTGCCTAAGTCACTGCATTTTCTGCCTTAATTTCTGCATCAATGTTATACCTTTAACTTTTGAAACTTACAAATATAAAATTAATGACTGCTTAATTTTTAATACCAAATTTATTTTGCAATTTACGCTGACGTAAATGCATAACCTTTTTCCTTCTTTTCAATATATTTTCGAATATCAAAAAGGTTACCAAAAGGAAAACCATATTATTTAAATCAATACAATATACGGAGGAATCTGAATAGGGTTGCAAATAAAGATTTATCTAGTAAAGCAGAGAGTGTGTGTGTGTGATTATGGCAAAGCTTCAAGGGCTATCTGCCTAAGGGGAGGGATGCCTTCGTGGAGGACTTTCTAAGGGAAACTGGCTCGTATACACGTTACACATGGGGAAAACCACGAAAACGCCCATGCAGCCAGCCCGTTCGAGGGATTCGAACCTCGGACCGAACTACCAGTGTTCACCGCTCGGCCGCTGGCGGGCACAAGTAAAGCAAAGAGAGTATGATACTATTTATATCGTCACAGACGAACCAATCAAGCAGCTTGTATCAAATATATTTACAATGTTATGGAAATTTTGCATCTTTGTCATTGAAGGTAAGAAATATTTACTCGAATGCTGCGGTCGAATAAAGCAAAAGATCTCTTTTTATTCACATATGATGTTTGTAGTTTTTATATACAGAAGAGTTTTACATCTGTAAACAAAACTAAACCTTTTTAATGTACTTACCTGTATAATGATGCAAGATTGAATAGAGCTCTAGGATGATGAGAATTTATGAGAAGAGCTTGTTTAAAATGGTTCTCGGCTTCTTTAACATCAGTTAACAGTGTTCCTAAATTGTTGTGTGCGCTAGCGTGATTCGGCCATAAACTAGAAAATACAATAAAATATGGTAAGAAAAGAAAACAACATAAATAGCAAATCGAAATAGATGCAAATTTCAAACAGATATTGAATGTTTCAAATAATTACTCTAATGTATACTCTATTTGAATCTTATGAACTGGAAACTAGTGATGTTTAAAGCTCTATTTTCTTTCGTAAGAAATTCGTGACAAAAAAATTTCATTTTATTTTTAAGCTGACACAGAGAAATTAAATATAATATTAAGTAGTAAAATTAACAAATATTATATCTAATCACATATGTTTCAAATTGAAAAGAAATGTGGAAATAATATTCTAACACTGAACCACATCCTTGACAGAAGCATTAAAATACGAAAACATTTTGTCTTTATAATTGTTTATTCTCTGATGTTATTGCTTTCACAATGATAAACATTCACGTCGAAACTTATCTTAAAATCATTGAATTAGTTTTAACGTATATATGAATTTGTCCATATTTATATTTATTTATTTTTCTTTTCTTTAGAAGTTAAGACCGATATAATAAGATCCTTCATTATATTTCAACTACGCTTAGATATAAGCGTTGAAATAAAATATATTTTCTCAGTTTATAAAACTAAAACATATCTCGGCTAAATTATAATGCTATTAAGGATGCGAAATGTAGTACAGTAATTATTTATCAAATTCGAACTTTATCCAAGTAAAACAATTCTTGTTTGTTTTTGAGTGCAAGCCGAATTCAGAATTTTAAAGCTGAACTAAAATTAAACAAAACAAAAATATTTTTGCATAATGTATTATTAACAGAAAGTTTTATTACATTTTATTAAGCAAAATTCAAATAAAAGTAAACAATATATGCAACAAATTTAAGCCAGAAAAATGCACATGTTTAAATAAGATTTCAGTTTTTGAATTATTTAAAACACTAGTAAAGTCATCCGTATTAAATATTATTCAATAATAAAATTTACAGATTTCTCGTTGAAGACTGTTAAACCTTTTTATCCAAGTATCCGTTAAATGTATTTATAATTAAGTACTGAATTATGCATACATCTGACAAAAGAAAAAGAAATTATTTTCGAAGTCTGTGACGGAAACAAAATAATAAAATGTTATATGTTCATAATTCAGTTCATTACCTTCATTTTTAACCTTTAATTATGGTTAATTCATAAGTTTTTATTCCTATTCATGCATTTAATTACCTAATTACTTAAATGTTTCAGTAAAAATTAAAGAATCCTAAATTTCAATAAGTGTTCTATAATAAAATCTACTTTAATGAATTTCAAACTTCGTAAAATAAAATAACACTTTTTTAAAATATTAATAGAAAATATTTAATTAGAAATATTAAAGAGATCTAATATTATGTTAAGGATTCGGAGTATTGTTAAGTAATTTAATAATATATTGATATAAACACTGGGAAAGCTAGAGATTTTTCAGTAACATTCACTTCATACACTGGATTTGATATTTCTTAGTTTAGATGTAGAATATTCATGCATTACAGCTAATCGAAAAACAGTTTTTTATAAAATATTTGGTACAATATAAAATTTGATGAAGTATATTAATAGTTTAAAATTTTATGCATTTGATAGCATACACTGCGGATGTAACTTATGACTGTAATTTCTTTTCGAAACATCAAACTGGTTATTGTACATTTTTAATGGGCCTTGTCAGTTTTAGACTGTCTTAAAAAAGTTTTATAAAAGTCTTATAATTAAATCTTATAAAATATAAGTAATAATATTTAAGTCTTATAAAATATTTTTAGGGAAGATAACTTATTACATCATATAATATCAAGCCTTTACGTAAAATAAAACTCTTAATTTATATTCGGGAAGAAATGCTTCCGAAAAAGTGATTATATCTTAAAGAATTAAAATATAATTTGAAAGATCTGAAGCTCATCAAAAAGCAATAGCCCTGTCTGCAACCATTAAAACATAAATCTTAAGCATTCACGTCTACTGCTATATACATGCATCTCGCATACTTAATTACACTTACCTGAGAGCCATTCGGTAATGTTCCACTGCTGTATCGACATTTCCCAAGTCTTTTTGAAGATTAGCGAAGTTATAATGGACTTTGGCATTATGTGGTACGCTGGTCAACCCCGACCTAAATTAGCAATAAAACACTATTTTCAGTTCATGGTCTCGCCCATTATCGTAATGAAGATTCAAGACTCGGAGTAAAATATGGTTGAAGGAATTAAGCTGCAACGGTAATAAACGGCGGAATGATAGTGTTTTCTTAAAGGCCGTAACATGAATCTTAAGAGAAGTGCAGCTGATACAGAGGAATGAATGACTATCCCGGGCTCCCATATTTATTACTTCGCGAGTACTCTACGTTAGGAATGATTCATGACAGGGGAATAAAATCTGATTTCTTGGCATACATGGCTTAAACCTTCTTCCCCCGACGTAATTGCAGTTAATATACAACCCTATTATTCGACACTCAGTATTCATTGGAGTAAGAAAGAAATTTAATTGCTTAAAATTATAAATCTAATTTAATTCACGCTAATTTTATTGCTTGGAGATGATCGTTTTCAATGGTTTATATGTGATCATAATATACTTACAAAGTCTACCTGATTCAAACGTAAATAAAATCTGAACTTCATACACATTCATAGCATGCACTTTATTTCTCTGCAGTTCTCTTGTCATAGCATGTAAAGTGTATTAAATAATTTTACAAGCTAAATTTATTGGGTATCTGAATTAAGAATGTGGCGTAAATGTTTAAGAAAAAACAGATTTTGTTTTACTTAAAATCGATCCTATTACCTGATGGATTGCATAGCATTCTCATGGCTTTCCAATACATAATGTAAATACAAACCACTTAAAAATAAAACTCTGTAAAACGTCTAAAAGCAAGGAATCTTAAAACGCCGTGGCGTAAACAAATACCTAGCCCAAATTAATAAAATGGTTAAAGTCGGCATTTAAACTTATAATACAGAGTGATTCAAAATTAGGGAAACAAAATTCTAGGAAGGGTAGTGTACATCAAAACGAATCGGAATCTCATAGCCATGCAGAGGCGCAAGTGCAATCCTAACGAGATAAGGGGGATAGTAAGGGTTTTCGCAGGAAAATCATCGATAGCCACCCGCAGAGGTCTTAGGATGGAAAATATGAATACATCGTGATCGCAAAAATGACATGTAAGATCTTAAACATAAGTCTTAACTTTTCTAATGATGAAGGTACCCGATATTTCGTAGCTTAAGGTACGGAATCTCGGGAGTTTTGAAATGCACTGTCTTCATTTTGAAACGGCCCATCTAGGTGGCTACCACAAACGTCGGACGAATGCCCAGAGTATTTTAAAACTTCCGAGATTCCATGCGACGCCTACGAAACTTAAGCAACTATATTATTAGGAATGTCATGACTTATTTTAAGCTTATGGTCTTTAAATGTCAGTTTGTGATCACGATGTATTCATATTTTGCATCCTAACACCTTTGTGGGTGGCTGTCGATAGTTGCCCTTCGACAGGAGCCCGGCGAAAGGTAAATTTTATTCGGTGAAATGTAATTAGCACATTTTTAAAAGACAACAAAACATCCTTTTATGCTAACCACATGACATTAGTACTAGTAGAAAAATTCAAGACTGAATCAATCAATAACATTATGCAACAACGTTTCTAATTTTAAGTAAGGTATGCTCAAATTTATTAGTACATATCTTCCAAATGATAAAACATCTACATTAACATAACTTTAAGATATATTTACAAGTTATAATCGGGGATACCTAGAAAACAAGTTTTCAAAAATACATTTTGAATAAAAGATAAAATATGTGTTTGTATATCTGCTTCAAGCACATTGATTAAAATTATTGTTTTCAGGCTTTAAGCACATAGCTTCTCATGATAAAAGTAATGATGGAAATTCAAGATCACGCATTTGTTTGTTATCACCGAAAGACTGCATTTCACAACAATTCAACTGCCCGCAAATAATAAATATAATTACTGTGTACTAGAATAGCACCAAGTATCCAAGTTCGTTCAAACATTAAACTCAGTTATACGTGCATGATTCTACTGGCATTTCCTCGCAGATTATCTCGTAATCACATGTAATGCTGCTATTTGATTTTTTATTATAAACACCTTGAACAATAAAACATATTAAAAATATTATTGATTGCATTTTTTCCAGGATACCATTCATTAAAGCCACACCACAAACGTCCGACAACCGGTAATAAAGTTAACAAGAAACTGGCCTTGTTGTTTATTGGCAACTTCTGTTTCTGAAAGATGGGGAATAGGATAATCCTCCTCAATACAGTGTTATCACGAAAAAAGAAGATTTTACTTTAAGAAACGTATGCCTCCCAGACAGTATAGGTTAGTAGAGTCGACTGCGATACCAAAAGGCCCTGGTTCGAATCACGGAGGAGGCATGGTTCTGTCCGTCCCTTCATAAAAATCTTTAAAAAAACGTTTCAGTTTGGCTATAAAATTGAAACTGTCGCCCTTAAGAGACAGAATATGAAATTTCTGATTTGAAAAGGAACGAAGAAAAATGGTCCCTCTCCAAAAGCCAGAAAATGTCCCACAAAGTGTTTTCACAGAGCATGATTTTTAATCCGTTTGTTTATCTCTTTTTATGAATTGTGCTTTGATCTCTCGCCTGGCGACCACATCTGAAAATGAGCAGTCCTTCATAGAATGTAAGCAATTATAAATAGTGAATATTAGCTCACTATGACGACTACTACCGTAACTCACGAAAAGCGTATAAGGTATTTCTCCCGCCTTCTTAGCGTGCCTTCGTGGTGTAGTTGTTCTGCACACTGGACCGGTATTCCAGGGTCCGCAGTTCGATTCCCGGCGAAGGCGTTGCTAATTTTTCAACCTCTCTCCAGCTGTAAATGCCAGCTGATTTACAGGTGGAATTAACAGAAATTCATTGTGTGTCATCTCTAAAGAAAAAATTCAATAAAGTGGATTTAACTAAATTTTACAAATACTTGCTTTTTCTCGTTTCCGACAAAATCTCAAACTTTTGTATCGTACATGATTTTCATGTTCGATAAAACACAGAACACCAGGAGGAGAGCTTAGACCTAGGCTAAACTACCCATACACGTTTTAATTACTCCTTGGCAGAGGCGGTCCGAGGGACCGCTAATCTATCGGTCGAGCAGTCCAAGTCGAGAGTACGAGCAGTAACTCACATCCACGACTCCACCATGGGAGGGGGAATGCGAAGACACTGCCATCAACATGGTACCACTCCCGGACAGCAGATCGAAGTACATAAATAACACAAATAAAACAGCACGCGTCACCATTCCGTCTGTAAAATAAAGTCTAAGAGAAATTCAGCCGTTCACCGAGCAAGGCCGTGAGAAAGGATATGAACGATATTGAGGATCCAGACGCCCGCTGGCAACCCCAAGCGATCAACAAGGCCTGTGAAACTCGCCGACTCAACCAACTGGGTTTGTTTTCCCCCAGACAATCAAACTATCAAACCATATAGCTCCACCACAGACAGAGGAGAGGGCAAGACAATACAAGTACGGTCCCTGCCAAGCATATTTCTCACGAGCGTATAGTCAATTATACGCTCACCAGAATCGAATCCCATTCTATCAATTTACTAGCTAAATGTGCTGACCAGAAGAACATTTGGAAGGAATTTCATACAGTTACAATATCACTGATCTTCTTTGTATTATAGTAATAGCATGGGACAAATATTCAATACAGCGAAAACTGAAGTACGCAGAGAATTCAAATGTGTAGGTAGAAAGGTTCTCTTTCCTTTTTTTAAATTTCTATTTGAATCTGTTTCCATTTGATGGCAAAAAATAATTAAGAAGTAATTTAATAAGAAGCTTAAGTCACCAGTAGTGATAATTAAGTCTTGAACTTATATTTTATGCTGTCAGTCTGATGTTTTTGGGGGACGTTGCGCAGTTGTATTATACTCTAATGGACAAACATAAACTACTAATGCAGTTAACACATTCATATTATAAAGGAATATATAAATTACCTCGACGAGCAAAGGCATATGGGACGAAAGAGCAGTGTCATTTTTCTACTTAATAAGTGGTTCAAAATCTGCTCAGAGTAATCGTTGCTTGTAAGCATGCCAAAAAACTATTGATTCTAAATTCGTAACATTCTTTTTGTTTATTAAATCAATAGAAATGTGTTATCTGTTAAGTAGCTTATTTGTGACGCTATCTAAGTCATGTAGAAATTTATACCTTATTTGAACATAATTAATAATAATGATGACAATTTTAGGTATAGATTTTAATATTACACCGATAGATGAAGCGCATAATATTTTGAATTTTCTTCACAGTACTGTGTTTTGCTATTTAAGAACTGAATTAGTTTTATTTTAAGTAAATCATACAGAAATATATTTATTATAATACTAGTCACTGAAGTTCAAGCTATAGAAAGTGTTAAAATTCTATCAACAAGTAACAAAGTCCTAAATTACATTAATCCGTTAAAGTAGATATTTTTATATTTTTTATAAAAGGAAATTACGTGTTTTTAGATATTTGCGTAATACTTCTAAAAATGTTAGAGGATATTTTTCTTAAAATGAAAGTATATTCAGAAACAATTATTTATCAGTCAAAAGTACTGATGAGATCTCGAGATGAACATATACTGAATGTTAAAATGAAAAATATTTTATTTTTACCAAATGAAAAGCTTTTCTGCGACCGGCGTGAAACAATTGTGTTGTAGATCATACATCTTCAAATTATACACAAGTGAATGAAAGTCTTAGAATTAAAAAGAAATTAATTAACGTCGAGAAACATTTTGTTTTACTTTATAATTTAGAGCAGTGGTGATATATAAGAGATTTGTTTCGAATTATTCGAGTTAACAGGCCCTCAGAAAAGTATAAAATTAATAAAGCATGGAGAATTATAACTGTAAAATGTAAAATAATGTATAACTCACTGTAAAATGTGTTGCTCATTTACACTTCAGTTTTCTAATCGAATGTATCACAGAATGTGTACTAACCATCATTTTTTTTAACATAACCTGAGTTAGCGCCTTGTTTAGCAGACGGCTTGGAATCCATTAATATCGAAAATTGACAAGACAAATGTTAGTGACATTAAAGCACATTTGAGTGGGCTGGATAGTAAAAAAAATCTCATTATCCCAATTTGCAATTTATACGGTCTGCCTTTCTGATACAGTAGTTAAATTTCCAGGATAAGTAATGTATAAAGCATCTAATAATCATGCCACGTTTACAGATCTATGAAATGAAAAACAAAAAATGTGTATTGAACATGAAGCAGACCGCAGTTATATACGAGCCTAAAAACAGACCGCAGTTATATACGCGCCTAAAAATCAGTTAAATTTTTTTCATGTATGATATGTAAGCTAGGATGGATCTACATAAGCTAGGATCGATCTACGTAATTCAGGGTGGATGTTCGTGGGGATGAATGAGAAGTAATGACCTACAAATGTACTACATCTCTTTGCAGAATTCAAGACTCGTATGGCAATTTTTAAATTACAGAGGGAGCAACAAATTAAAAATAAAGTTGTACCATAAATAGAAGATATAACGCTCAATAATTGCACACCAATTCACTGAAATCATTTGATTGCATTGCTGCTGGAGGTTTCATACAGTAAAGACTGTTGATAAGAAGATGATAGTACTGCGTTTATTGATTTTCTGAAAGCTTTCAGGAGTGATTCATATTAAGGTTAAGTAGGAAATACAGATCTAATACTACAAGCGTTAAATTCATAGCTGCTTAGATATTAAAAGCAGAAAACATGATATAAAGAGCAGTACAGTACCAGGCTGGCGTTAAACTGGATTACAGCAGGGATTAGCTTTGGAAATTTCTATATATCGTATCTGTATTAAGGAAAGAGATACACTATCATAAAGTGTAGGTTAAGGCATTTGCAAAAGGATTCCAACTGAATGTAGGATAATGTGGTATATAAATGTACTGTATTTCTAAGATATAAGGGTAGCACAAAAAATCCTCATACATTTTTGTGGGGTAGCGTGTAAGGAGTCTGCAGTTAACCTTCAGTGGCTATTTCAATGTTTAGACTTTAACTAATCTTATGAATGCCCCCATTAAATTACTCAATCCTAAAAATGAGCAGTGATATAAAACTACTTTTACCAGTTAATCGGAGTTGCTGATATGTCAATGGCAATAAAACAGAAGTAACATCGCAAAGTTTTCAGCTTTGTAACCTCTGTCATGAACGGTATTTTGAAGAACTGCAAACGATTTCAGTCCTAAATGAGATTGCTGATCCCAATCCAAACGCTTTAACGTCAGTCATAGACCATTCTAGAAGTATTCAAATATTGTTATTTTTAAATATCTCAGGCTGTCATACATTCGTATTTAGTTTTGGTGCTATGGCTCATAATTTTCGTACTGATCAGCTCCTTTGCATTCATGACACCCAAAATATTCTCGACAGCTGCTGCTTACTCCTTAGGTTATATTCTTATCCAAAACCTGACAGTAATTTTTAAGGAAAAATTTAGTATATTATATTGCCTTGCAGTTTGAACTTTCTATTTACGTTCCAGAATCCGCATTCCTTAATTTCACCTTTTAGAATTCAAAATGCATATTTGAAACGGCGAGAAAAAAAGGAAAAATATGAAATAAATTGTGAAGAATATTTCAACTTACGTGAACAATGTTTCTCTATTTTTCCAGTCTTGATTCCTTACTGCAGTTCTAGCTATGAAGAGGAAAATGAGGATAACAATGAAACTCTTACAAGCCCAATAGATACGATTGTGATGTTTTCGTAGCTTCTTTAAGCCAGATGTCACAAGAACACAAAATCCAATGCTATGAAAAAGAGAATCATTTAATAGAGTATTAATTATGTATGAAATAAATTTACTGGTAACAGAGATTTGGAACATGACATTACATTAGTGATCAGTATTTCAGATTAACTTTTTATTTGGTATAGTTCTTTACTTAAACTGCATTAGTAACAGTATCCATTACATTTATATAAATCATTAGAAAGTACGTTTGATACATATTTCATGTCGGTGTACAAATTAAAAAGCAACTGGAGAAAGGGTACTTAATGCACAATAAAAATTAAAAATTCTATAAAAGTAAATATGTGTGCTACTTTTAAATTAACGACCATGTACTGAATCCATATACCTGTTCTTCTGTTAACAGAAAAAATATGCGAGTATGAAGCACAAAAAAATTAAATAGAAACGCGACTGAAATTCACGTATGTATTACTGTCTGTATCAAAATTTATGAGTTATGAATCATTTCAGTACCATTACAAATATTTCAGACGTACCATTCAGGGAAATGATTGCAGTTATGAATGGTTAGCAAACGAAAAGTTGGTCATTTGAAACCGATTGAGTCAAAAGGCTTAATTACTTCATAAAATAAGATTTCAAGTTTTGAGAGACGAATTTTCAACGCAAAAACCATTAGTTTCCGCAAAATTAAGCCTTCCTATTACACTCAAAGTCTACAATTGACAATCATGGCTATTTTGTCCCCTGAGTTATGTGACACTTAGTGCCTAAGTAATCTCTCAGAATGTTGAGAAAGAAAATTCAGATCTTCATGCACTTACTCAAGTTTCATAGTGATATATTACCTTATGCTTTTTGACTTCCTTGTACGAAGTAAAGTAAGTATTGTAACTGCGAAAAATTTCAAGTCTGATTTATTTCAAGGGAAATATCCATTTCGACCGTTGTTGCATATATTTGAACGATTTTTTGCGTGATGTCTGTATCTATGGTCAGAATAAAGGAATCTATTTTCCAAAACGAATTGTAAAATGGATTCCAAATGTATTTTTGTCGTAACATCTGTACACACGTCCGTCCGTATGTATATATCTCACATAACTCAGAAACGATTAGCCGTAGGACTTTCAAATTTTGCATGAGACTGTTACAAGCGCTGTTTGTGCCCGTTCTTTTTTTTTTTTTTTTTACTGCCATTGGCAATATCATATACCCACCTTTTTGCACCCTTTTGCCCGGCTTGAAAGTCCTTACTTGGTCTTTAATTTCTCAACCGTTTGCCGTAACGCCGAAAATATTTATGATTTGGTAAAGTTAAATTTTCAAAAAAAAATCTACAAATAACGAAATCTAACTTTTAATGCCTTCTCTCAGTTAATATACATATAAAGTTTTTAAAAAGCAGTATGTTTCTTTTGTATTTTAAATTTTGCAAAAGTTGGTTGGAAATAAGAAACGTCAGGTTAATACATAGATTATACAGACATACGGACGGACGCACATATACTATACATATGTCAAAAATATGAAAATCAAGATGCTAACTTTAATTTGAAAGATGTGAAACTTTTAACCATTCTCAGATTAATTCTCAAATTAACTTAGCTATTTCCTCCTTGCCATCGTAAAATTGGTAGGTGCTTGTAATAAATTTACCGTTACTTATAAACTACTATAAGTTCTACTTATAAACTTCGTTAATTCAATTTTTTATCGCTTTCATATGATTCTTGCATAAATCTAACGATGCAGACGTTACATAAAGGATTTACCTAATAAAAAATTTCGAAAATAATTAACTAGTAGAAATGAAATCGGAACTGAAGCCAAATCATTCTGAGCTAGTCTTTTGTCTTGAACCTGTCTCAATTAGCTTTCTGTTTCCTTGCGGGCTGCTTGCTGCTTTGTCTATTTTCAAAATTACATCTCAAAAGTATTAAGAATACTAATGTAGTTCCTCAAGAACAGGCGCTTAATGCGCCACTTTTTTATAGGTTTGGGTGATTATCTGTACAGGTGTTTCATATTGAATGGCACAAAAAGAAAGCATGCCTATGAACACGGTAATACTTTATTTGGAGAAATCAGATTTACACTGAAGTATAAATATCCAAGTTTCTATAGATATTTTATATTCTTCGGTGATTTGGCAAATATCTATACGGTATTCCATTAGCTGCCTCACTCGAGATAGAATCTGTTTTGGCAATGATAAGAGCATTTCAGTTATCCGTTGCTTCAGTTGCTGTAAGTCCTGAGGAATGAAACCACGGACACTCTGTCTTTGACAAAACCTCATAGGAAAAAGCTACAAGGGGTTAGACTTGGAGATTTCAATGGCCAACCAAGCAATTTCATATCATTTGACTCAGCAGATTCCAGTGATGGGATAAACTATCATTCAGATACTGATGTCAGATTTTATGCCAATCAGGTGAGGGACAAACTTACTGCAGAATGAAGCTGGGAACCTCTTCCTCCAACTGAGGGAACAACCACTTTGATCTGCATAACTTGGTAAATGCACACGTTAATCAATTTTTCCACGAAGATCAAATGACCAAAACACAACTGTTGAAAATGGCGCAGAAAATATTCAACTTTGGAGAATCACGCTCATGTTCCGTTACACCCTGTGGACTTTCCGTGCCTCAAAATCGTAAATGATGGCAATTAAATTTGCCAAAAACGCGAAATGTAGCTTTATCCGTTAACACAAGTCTTTTTGCGAAGTCCTTTACCTCCAAATTACCTGAAAATTCTTACAGAAAGCTTTATGTAATGGTTTTACTCCTGAATCATTTGAAATGGGCATGGCGGGAACTGCAGACGTTTCCGTAACACATGCCACACCGCTACATGAGGCACATTGAATTCAGAATACAGACGACGCGTTGATTTTACGGAACATTGTAAAAAAAAAAGTTTCGCGAAATTTTTCAACCACATCGGTTTGGGCTTCTCTTCGTCCTGGGTAGGTTTTGGCTTCTTTTCGTCTTGGATACGTTTCTTACACAAGCAGTCTGTGTCCTGAAACTGCTTCACCCACCGTTCGATGTTGTGACGATGCGGTGTTTTTTTTACCAAACTTCATGCGAAAATATCTTTGAAAGACAATAAACGATGATGCTTGAGGTTATTCCAAAGCACAGTATGCTATCTCCTGTAAGAATGACGCCCTTTTGATTTAACAGTGCCTGTAGCAGCTATTTCATTACTGGAAAACGTTTCGCCGTTGCCAGCTAAAACTTGCATAATTGTAGTTTCAGAATTCATATTTTTGACTTAATAAATCAATTACAGACGTTGTACTATGTTATTCTTTTTGTCCAATTCGTTATGAAACACACTTCACCTAAACGGCTCAGTGGTTAGTGATGTGACTGTCCAGGCTAGAATGTCGGAGAAGGCATAGCTGTTTGTAAGCTTATAGTGTCTGTGAGGCAAGGGAGCGTTGAAAGTGCGCGGTGAGCAGAAAATCCTTTCCAGAGGTTCATGGTACATGTAGGAGATCCTTTTACCACTCCCTGTGGTCTACCTCAAAGTTGGGAAGGATGCATAACACTTAGCTAGATTCAGCAATACCTCAACACCTGTTGTACTACAGAGAAGCTGGTTCAGTTTCTATCTGCCTCTGTATTTGGAGCTGGTATTATTAATAAATTGTCAACACATTTGAAGAAGGGAAGCACGTTGTATACAGCAACGTTAGAAAGAATTTCAGTAAACTTCAATTGTATTATAACAACAGCAAAATTTTTGCTAAATAAACTAAATAAAAAGGCTGAAGAGCTTAAAAACCAATTTATCATCGTAGCTATAGGCAAACTTGACAACAATTTGCGTATTATCTGTAAAAGGTACTATTAAGTAATAAATTATATACCAAATCTCTAATAATCAAGAAAGCGAGCTAATTTATAAATATAAAGCCTTTCACAAAAAACTTAAAACTATCATCAGTCCTCAATACAATAATTTCTCCTATTTGTATGGCCTACTGAATTTCACAAGATTACCCCTTTATAGCTAATAGTGTGAATAAATAAAAAAAAAGATCCAAGAGCATACTTATATTAATTAGTAACGGGATTATCACTAACAATCAAAACTTATTAAGACCATAAACAAGAATCAGATCTACACTATTTACTGCTATGACTTTGAAAATTAACGCACCACCTTACCGCCCAATGAGATTTACAATAACTTGATAGAAATGTACAAACTTTTCCGAAGTCTAAAGGTATAACTGATTTCCAAAACACGGGATTCTTATATGCACACATTTTCACAATTTTATTAAATATCAAAATAAAATAGCTCTAGAAATTGATGGTATTCCTATGGGTCCCAATTAGTTGATGGTCATATGTAACATATTGTTTTTCGTTAAAAGGCTTGCCAGCGGCCGAGTGGTAAAGCTGCTGAACACTGGTAATTTGGTCTGGGGTTCAAATCCCGGCGAACGGACTGGCTGCATGGGCGTTTTCATGTTTTCCCCCATGTTTAAAATGTATACAAGCCAGTTTCTCTTAGAAAGGCCTTCAGGAAGACATCCCTTCCCTAAGGCAGATAGTCCTCGAGTGTTTCCCGTAATTAAATAAACAAAAGCAAACCAACCTCTTTGTTAAAGGATTTGATTTTATCTACAGCTATTAAAATCCAGAACTTTACAGTTTTACCTTCAGACATATAGACGACATATCCCCATAAATAATTACAATGAAAACAGAAAATGAATCATCTATCCTAAATGCCTTAAAATGACATAAATGATGCAAAAACATATTATTTATACCCTCAAATTTACAAAATCAACAAAATAAATTTATTTGACAAAAGACGGCTCTTCCGTTTTAATACTATTAAGCTAATTAATCGTTAATTAATCATCTCTAGGAAAATTCATGGCAAACACTTTATTAATCAAACCAAAGGAATCAAAAATGTATGTAGTAACAAAATCATTTTTAAATGAACTTATATTATGAATTAAAATTCCTCATAAGTTTATCAAAAACAAAAAAAGGCTTGTTAAATTACAGTTCTCTAAAATTTGTTTTCAACATTAACCTGTTGTTTATCACGATAGGTTACAATTAAGCCATTAAGGCAATGTGGACTGGATATATTAACACATTTAAATTAGACATGCTATTTAGAATTTCTACATTAGATTTAATTTATATTAGGCTGTTTAATTATGTCTTTCTGTTATTTTCAAAATGGACCTACTTCAGCTTATCAGTCTCCAAGCAAGCCGCTTGAATTAACACCGTATTCTGTAACAATTTACAACTTATTCCGCTTTCCGACTTTTTTTATTCTTAAAGGTTAACTACAACTTCACGAGTAAATTGCAAATTTAGGCGAAAGTCATCTAGAAACTTCTGATAAAGTTTAACTCACATTTTTTACTTTTTCTCGCTTGTTCTTTAGCTTTAAAATTACTTGTCACACTCTATTTTTTCTTAAGGCATCTTTTTAATTTTTTGTGGACACACCACACCCCGTATTATAATTGTTTTTAAAATTGCTTTTGAAACTAAACACGAATATTTCTTTCGTTTAGAATTTTTTAACTTCAACTGAAGTTAGAGTTGAATCATTAGGAGGGATAATTTACGTTTGGAATTGCAATGTTCCAGCTATATTACAGTACAAATTAAGATAACTCACTGGTTTTCTTTTCCTGTATTTGGTCTCTCCCCACCATTAAGATATGTTTTGCTTTAGGAAGTTTTCTTTAGGTTTAATTTAACAGTTCCATTTGGTTTTTATTTACATCAAAGCATATGTTAGGATTAATTCAACCCAGTGCTTTAATAAGACAGGTTTTATTATGTCTAGTGTTTTTAGGTTGTTTTTTAGAATATATTTCTCCCGTTAATTGTTTACTTAATTTGTTCAGATACTTATAGACTGAGGAATGACCTCTACTCTACGATTAATGTTTCATGTGCTGTTTGCTTATGTACTGTTAGATTAATTCATTAACTAAATTTAGAATTAGTCTGCTCGATACGTTTCATGTTTTAATCAAATAAAAGTTTTAGTGAGGTGTTTTATAATTAGCTGGACTTGGAGGACTCGGGGAAAATTGGGCAATTTGCTCTTATTCTAGCCTGTAAGGGTTGGACTGATAAAGACATAAGCTGTTTTGTAATTTTCTTAAGTTTTAAGTTTTAATTTTTAAAATTATGTCATTATCAGTTCTTAAACAGGTTGTTCCATTTACTTCTCTGGATACAGCAGCTCCCTTAAGATGATGTATTCGAAAGATGTTCATTCTTTATATTTAATTTTTCATTATTATTTACATTATCATTTCATTATTACTGTATCTTTCAACTGCAATGTTTTTGCTTTTCTTACTTGCATATTTTATGTATTTGTTCACTATTCACCCCCAGATCTCTTTTAATTTATTTATTCAGCATTTGTTTCTTATACCAAAAATTACTACTTATTTATTATTATAGCCTGATGAGATTGAGTAAATGATTTATTTTTTTTATTTTTTAATATTATAACTAACCAACAGCATTTGATTTTAATAGCAATCACTATGAAATGCATTCAAGGAAACAAAAGTGCTTCATTTACCTCGGTATATAGAGTACTCTTTCTGCAACTACAAATCCAACTGTAACAAACACGTTTGATGCAGGTAGGAACGGCAAGACAAGAACGCACAAGTACAGCAACATTGATTTGCTCTCAGATTTCTGAAAGAAAAAACATTATTGCCGTCTTATATAATGAAATGCATCTTAATGCATCTTATACAATTTTACAACATCATGCGTAAATGAAAAAAAAAAAAAAAAAAAAAAAAAAAAAAACACGCATACTCATATATGACCATATAGGTAACATGTATATGTAAATTCTTACATATATATGTGAGATATAAAATGCATGAAAGAAAATTAACAACTTAAATTTGGTAATAGTTCTATTAGTCCCCATTTCAATTTGGTTATGTCCCCTTTCTTGTCTTAAAACTACTAATATATAAATCTAAAGTGCGTCATCTAAAATTTAATCCGCGTTTCGCCATTATGTAAGCGCAACCTTGCGGATATTTTTTATCCAATCACAGTTCAACATTTAAACCAAACAACCATACATTATATAAACCAATGATGAAAGTGAAGTGATAGTCCAGGATCTTCAGCTACAGTAAGTGACAAGTTTTTTTGGTTGATTATTTAATAAAGCTGCAGAAAACCAGATTAAAATAGACCTCTCGCATTACCTTCTAGAGACATTAGTTATTTTTGGAAGCAGGCAAGATGACAAATTAGCAAACGCCTTCGCCGGGAATCGAACTACGGACCTCTGGAATACCGGCTCACTGTGCAGAACCACTACACCACGAAGGCACGCCAAGAGGGTGGGAGAAATACCTTATAACCTATCGGTTATATTTGTCTTTAATGTATTTAATTTTTTCCCTTCATTAAGTATTTTATGGACTACTGCCAAGAGCATTTTCTTAATCTGTTCTGATAACTCTCTTAATAAAAAATAATTTATTTTCAAATCACTGTTCTGTTTGAGAATTAATTGAAAGTATAGGAAATAGGAGGAACAAGGAACAGAACTGCTGATTGTAAAGAAATAGTTATTAAAAATTATTCGGACCACAAATATAAAAATATAAATAATAATAACAGATGTTTTGTAGCACGACGTTTTCGCCTTGCGTTGTTTTCTCCGCGACGTTTTCGTCCACGATGTTTTCGGCTGTAACCATCTGGACCAAACTCTATGAACAGCGAATACATCTATATGCGTTTTAGCAGCGATACGACGGTAAGACCAACCAACCGTACGTAAGCCAACAATTTGACCTCTCTTATAATCCTCTATTTGCCGGAACTGTCTACGGTGTCGTCGTCCAGACGTCTTCATTCACATGTGTCTTCTGGAACGCTGAACTTCTCGACATTCTGGATTCTCTAAGCAACAACGAGTAGCGACGGTTGGTTTATTCGCTGTTTCCTTCCCTTTTAACTGGCGCTATAACCACGTAACTAACTTGCGTCTTACATCATCTGCATGAGTTTTTACCTTACATATTTCTTGAACTTTGCATATTTATATAGCCGAATCTTCATGGTGTTGCATTTTCTATGACGGGCAGTGTATCTCTCTAAGCAAAAGTCTTTCTTTTACTTGTAAAGACGACGATGCTCCACTTTTTTGCGACCTTTTAGTCAATGTGTTTCTTAGACATGTACTTGAGCACCGTTAAATATTGTCCAGTAGATCGAGAAATGTTTCTACTTAAAGCTACAGTGCGATGAAGATCTAATCTTTATACTTCGTTTGAATCCTGTTATCTTCGAAATCTGTGAAACAGGTCACGAAGTAAAATTATAATTCAGTTTCTTCTGAAATTTATACATTTTGCTATGTACAGAAATTTATTGTAGTATGTTCATACGGGAAATTTTGTAACAACAAAATTTAAAACCTCTCATGTCTCAGAAAGATAACAAATTTTTATTTTTTCTTACCTAAGTAAAATATTAAGATAACATTTGTGTTTGCTCAATTGTTTCTTAAACACCTGCATAGTAGCTGAATGTTTATAATTATGTTGTCCAGTTTGGGGTTTAGAACTTAAAAATAAATACGAACTACTGCAGTTTACTTTTGACCAAACTCCCCCCCCCTGCACCCAAAAGGTGAGAGATTTTACAAATATAACGAAGTTACCTAAAAAAAACTAAATGTAAATAATCTGAAAGCGATAATTAACTGAACGTACGTGTAACATTTGTACGATATTTTGAATAAAATCATCAATCAGTTAAATGGATGTCTATAACGATACAAAAATTTATTTGCTGGAAATATTCAAAAGTTACAAATGTATGATTAAAAGTATAAACTTGAAAAATGCAAGAAAATAATTCTTAGAACAAGAATCTGTAATTATCGCAACTTAGAGCTATTTGATAAATTTGCTAATGTTGTTCAATATTTTAAGGCATGGTAATCTCTTTCAAAAAATAAAGCAGTATCTTTTATACGCATACATAAACCAACATATTTTATGCTGCATATTTTCTAATAACGAATCAATAAATAATTCACATGAAAATTTAAATCGGAAACAGTTGGAAAATTAAATCAAGGTAGTTGTTACTATTCATTTGAGGATTAAAAATTCGTAAAACAGTTTGCAGAGTTTCCCCCTTTTTTCTGTTAATTAATCCAGTTAATTAATCTTCATGTTAATCAGGTTAATTAATCATAATTGTTTTGCTTATACACGCATTTTAATTTCATGAACTCCAACCAGGTTACAAATTAGTTAATGTAAATAAACGCAGAGTTCTTGAGTTTGAGAGAGAGATTTTAGCATTTATCACTGACTAATTACTCTGCTATACTTCCCTCCTATTGAACTGATTTATAAGCTTTAGTCTCTTAATTATTTAAGGCCAAGACAAAGTTTGTTTAGGTGCGTGTTATTTTGTGTTTAACACTTTAATTTGACTGGAACATTTGTTCGACATTTCCTGCAAATCGCGGCTATTACGTTTCTGTTACTGCATAGTTTATGTAACGTTTAGATAACGGGTTCTCAGCGGGGTCGCTATTGACCCCCTGGGGGCTGATGAAATCTTTAATGGGGTCAATGATAATCAAGGGGTCGACTGGGAGTCAATAAACGAATATTCACTGTTAGTGGTTGGGCGTACTAAAAATCTCATTGGTTACAAATAATAAATAAATAAATGAATAAAATTGTAAATTAGTTGTTTATTGATATAAAGTTAGTTATATCATAGAGTAAGGATGAAATCACATAAAATTAGGTTACTCAAATTAAAGGCGTATCAGGTTACTCAAATCTAAAAAAATAAATAAATAAGTAAATGAAATAACAAAAAAATTTCTTCGGAAGCAAAATCGGTAAGAAGAGATAATTACGCTAAAATTATTTTATATATTCTTAAATAATAATATATATTTTAAATGTATAAATTATTTTTGCAATAAGTGCAATACAAAAACGTAATAAAAGAAATGAAGTACCCTAAATGAAAGTTGCTATAAAATTATTATTGTTGACTTATCTCTCTTCTTACCTCGTAGAAGCAGACTTTACATAAGTCAGTTTAATCAGAAAAACAAGAAACAGGTTCAATATTTTTAAAGAGGTGATTTAAGAATTAGGTTTAATAATTTTACGTCAAATATTAAAACAATTGCATCAATATATCAACAGTAGAATTCTCATGAATTAAAATTAAACTTTTGTGCAAATAGAATCTCTGATTTTTGTTTCTAAATCTTGTTTATATTTCTGAAATAAAAAATTAATAATAATGCGAAACTAATAAAACATAAGTATAATAAACCGTTTTTCTAAACTTTATATGCTTATTCTAATTGTTATGTTTAAGTTATTTATGTTCAATTATTTGCAAAACGATTATATTACATGCTGTATATTATAAAGAAAAATATAAAGGGTCTATGAAGAAACCCATTCTTTTAAAAGGGTTCGACAATAGAAAAGGTTGTAAATCTCTGCTTTAGGCTAATGTGTTAATAAACCTGTGTTTTTTAAACCTTCATCTGAGTTGGTATTGACTGCACTTTAGAAAATCCTGAGTGAAACGTCATTAGCTTGTTTTCACGCCCCAGGAACTGACATTTAAATAGCGTAGAGTCATACCATACAAATTCATAAAATACATTTCCCTTTACTCAAAAACATTTTACAAAGATAAGCATGCCCTTAGGAAACAATTTATAAAGTGAAACTATGGTTTGTTTCAGAATTTATCAAACTCTAATCGATAGAAGACCAAGGCTGAGTGAAGCGGAATTTAGCGAATTTCTAATAAAACATAATATTTAATGTAACTTAGTATATAATTTCTAATAAAACGTAATATTTAATTTTTAATAGAACTTAATATTTAATGTAACTTAAAATGCAATTTCTAATAAAATTTAATATTTAATGTAACTTAATATTTAATTTATAATAAAATTTAATATTTAAATCACGAATATGAAATGTGAGTAATTTGGTACTGTTTGTAATGCAATTCATGCTGATTAAAAAATGGGGAATTCCAAATTAAATGTAATTGACTGAATATTAAAGATATAATAGTAATTTATTTTATCTTAATTCACGTTTTTGTTTAGTATCTTTGTTAAAACTATAGTAAGTTAAAATTAAAAAGGCGTATTAGGTTACTCAAATTAAAAAAAAATATAAATAAATAAGTAAATGAAATTAAAAAAAATCTCTTCGGAAGCAAAATCGGTAAGAACTTACTAGCATTAAGCTGATGTGTGACCGCAAATAAATTTTGAACGCTAATAGCAATAACTGTATTGCTGGGAAAATAAATAAATTTGGAAATAACATATCCACAAATTTGAGGTCCGAATTTCTTATTAAATGAATAATAATGTTAAATGAATAAATGTGATGATATGCGAGGTGTTTAAAAACGATCAAACTACAAAATATCTCTTAAATGGGCTATTGTAATTAAATGGGCTCTAATTTAAGAAATGGAACAAATAAAATAGCCATTCTACATATAGCGTGCTTACAAACTTTTCCTTAGTGCATAAGGTTTTTTTCTTTTTATGTTAATTCTTTTCTAAATATTTTATTTCTTCCGCCAGTCTTCACCAGAATGCAGGTAAGTTTGAGTTTAACTACCAAATTAAGTTT